TTTATACAAAAGGAAAGTAGTTGTAAAAGCTATTTCTTCACTACACCAAGTTCATGTAACTTAATTTCGTCAAGGCATAAAAAACATACTTATATTCTTTTAGTTTAAATAATAGACAACGATTTAACTTTTGCATCTTTTGGCGTCGTATTGATTTACGCATGAAACATTTTTTTTAAACCATTACACATACAATGAAGTTGTATAGTATAATTTTTTTTTCACGAGTGTAATATAAATAACATAAAATGTTGTCTACATTTGAGAAAATTTACAGTTTCTAGCTCCAAAACTTTTTTTTTTATATTATTGGTTTAATTAGTTTTTCGATTTCAGTTGCATAAAACAATTACCAAAAGCTAGGAGTTGAAATGTTGAATACATAGATATGTGAAGTCAAATTTCCTAACAGCACAAAAGAGATTTTATATAATTTTAAGATCATAAATTCAATAACCAATTGAGTACCAAACGCCTTCAAGCTTTTTTAAATTAAAATGAAATCCTAAATTTTATTTTGTTAATTATTATGATTATACTTAAGAATCAATAACCGCGATATACAAACACCATGTATTTGGATATTTAAGTGTGCGGTATCATTTTTGTTATTTGGATTTTTAACTTATGCTCAAATAGTTTCATTCCCATAATATAGTTTTATGTATTTATATGTGATGTTAACATTTTTTAAGAATGTCTTAAACTTGAATCTGATATATATCTAAAAAAACTATTACGATGTTTAAGATTAATATTTTTATGTATGTATTTGATATAATTATAACATATTATTCAATAATGGGCTAATGCTACAAAATATTCTATGCATCTGGTTTAGGAGTATGATAGTGAGTGCGTTTATTAACTGTTGTAAAAAAATTAATTAAAAAAACTCGACCAAAAAAATAATATAGAAAAGTGAGAGAGGGAAATATGTCCAAACTCACGAAATAAGTATAATAGACAAACTAAAAAAAAATTATTTTGTATACAGTTTGTTAAATTACATGGTATGTTTTTTTTCTACAAATAAAAAAAGTTTTTATTATGTTAAAAGATTCTTCCTAACCATGTATTATCCATGTTACCAAAAAATATCAAATTAACATCAAACTTTTTATTAACGGTAATAATAACATTTTTTATAAACAATATATCAAGTTTAATGATATAATATATATCCAAGATAAAGTTTAATTATATCTTTTAGACAAAAATAAAATTTTGCAATTCTTCTAGGTTATATTCGTTCAAAAGATAATAGATTTGATAACATTTTTTAGTTTATACATGTATACTTTCTCTTTCGGTGTAGTCAAGAAGTACCATATATATTTGATCTTGAAGATTATAACCAATTTTAAAGTTTAGTTTATTTTGAAAAAAAAACATTTTAAGTCTAAAATGGAAAAAACTACAAAATATAGGGTCTTTTATGAAACAAAAATACCTAATTTACGTGTTGGTGACCTGCTAGGGTTTGAAATAACAAGTAACATATAAAAGCTGAGTCTAGTCTAAAAAGAAAAAAAGTCAAAATATAAGGTCTTTTATGGAAATACCACAATAATTATTTAATAACTTAAAATTTGAAAATTTTCTACTCTACAATGTTAGAATAGCAAGATTATTAATAAGATTTTATATGCAATAAAATTCTAATCATTAATACTTAGGAGTTGATACGACCTAATCGACTAATCCATTATATCGTTGTTTGATTGCTTCATAGTTCGTCAATTTATATAATTTGTCAATTTGATATCCTTTAATTTTGGTTGTACCTACCGGTCTTATTTATAAACAACGATAAATATGATAGCTATACGTATGTTGTTGTTTCTTTCTAATTCCAGTAATGTATCGAATTTGGGCCTTTGAATTTGGTTCATTGTAGCTTCGTGTTATTTATTATTTATTTTTTCACAAAAGTGGACTAATGATTATATATAAGTATTACATAATCCATGCAATTTTTGGGCCCCTTGAAACAATGAGTCCTGAACGATCGTCTCTATCGTCCGACTATGCCTGCCAACCACCATTGTTTAAGAGAAAATTTATTTCGAAAATCAATATATTCTAGTCCATGTTTACATAGACTTATCATCTATTTAACTAATAATGTAGTGTATTCATAAATTTATTTATTTAAAGACTACTTGGTAATTTGATATCATGTCCGATTCCTTTGCAAACAATATATGCATTACAAAAAAAATTCTATAAATAGTTAGTCTTGTGAATATGCTAATAAACATATGATGCAATGAGCAAACATTAAACAAATGCATTTTAGTTGTCAAACCTACTAGATGATGGAACTTTAGGACTATGACTAATTGTATTTGTATGAAGTAATGAATGCATATATCATTATATCCGGTTACACGTGCACCACGCAACCAACCACCTTCCTCCCTCCCCTTTGTTTGCATCACACGACTTCTGAAATCGTCAAGCGTCAATAGTCAATACCTCCAAAGTACAAACCTACCCCCTTTACTTTTACTAATATTACAAATTTAACCTCAAGACCCAACATATAAATATTCATTCTGTCGTTTCTACCCAACTAAAAATTATTATTATAAAAAAGGAAATAACTCACGGTTTTCATGTTGTACCTTAAATAACAAATTAGTGCTTTTTTCGTTGACTCAAAAATATTTCTAAAGATAACCAGAGTAACTTGAATAGATAACAGACGCTAATAAGTTGTTCATATAAGCAATAAAAAGTGATTATTAGGAACTGAATTATCAGCTCCAAAACATGCACTCAAACAACCCTTAAGCAACTACAAAGGCGAATTTAACAAGAAAATATTTAAAAAATTGAATTTTTCATTGACAAAGAAGCAATTATGTCATGCGTTTAATTTATTAAATTATGATACTAAAATTGAATAATGAATGTATCATAAAATAACCTTAACCATAGATTTAGTCATGTGATGTTTCGATACTCGACTAATGTCAAAACTCAAAAGTATTATAACTTTCACATCAAACACGTAATGGGGGGTATAAAAAAATTTGAAGCATAAAATGTCAAAATAACTTGTTTACATTATCTAGCTATTTGAGACTATATATGTAGTAAACCAAAAAAAAAGCAGAAATTATATATTACAAAAGTATGAAGTCAGTACATTCACAATATCCATTTCCCATTTGGATTAAACTTGATCAGATAGCTTTTTTTGACATTTTTATATGAATCTAACTTCTGTTAACATTTATAGGTATTGTTTCAATTCGTAAGAAAAAATGTTATAGCATCTATACTATCATTAAAAGAATTTAAAAATGTGAAAATAAATTCAATCACCTCTCATCCTAATCTTGTTAAACTAATATTATGTTTATTGGTGCGATTAGTGTATTTTATGTTTCATCAATATAAATAATTACAGCGGTGAATTTAGAATTTAAACTCATATATGTCTAATTTAATTAAGGTGACGAAATAGATGGATCGAAATAACTTAGTAGAAGATATATACTATTGGATATATACATATTACATTTTTGTTTGTTTCTATCATCCTCTTCAACAACTTTACCTTTCTATTCAAGTTATTCAATATTGCATCTTCACACACATCCACAATATCCACAATATGGTTTTTAAGATATTATTTAATTGCTCGAAATAGTTTTCACAACTCATTAGGATATAATGAGTGGCGGTTTTAGTATAGGGCACACAGTGGTCCGTGTATCTCCTGACTTTTTCGGACACAGTGTGAAATTTTTCGAATTTTTTTCTACTATTGTACAACACCTGACTTTCCTGTTCCACTCCTACTATGTAATCCTATGTCCGTCCCTTAATATAACTTAACCAATTTAGTAGTTTATCCATTTTACATGCTTGAAAATACTTATTTGGACACATAGAAGCCATAGAATCAAATAATATTGTGTTATTTTATGAAAACAAATTGTATTCTCTTGAAGTTATTCTCTTGAAAATACTTATTTGTATAAAATACATCAAGTTGATAATGGTGCAGAGTAGTAAATCTCTGGAATAGAATAACTTGTTAATTGTTAACCAATCGTTTGTACATTTGAGTTGTGATTCCTCACATATGATTTATTAGTTTAATCTTAAACAAAATATGATTTGCAACATATAGAGGACATAGTAGAGTCCTTCATGGATAAATATGATAAAGACAAACAGGATGGAAAGAGAGCCAACTTCAAATGACCATAATGACCATGGCTTTTGATCTGTGGGAGTTTTGAGGTCCATTTTATAGAAAGCTATCAACAAGTAGGATCTCCTGAAAATGTTTTCTACGATTAAAGAGTGTCCATAGGCACCCTTTGTAAACATGTAAATTCCCCCTTGAATAGTCGCAATTTGAAGTTATATGATTATATAAGAGTTAGATAATCTATTACAAATCAAATTATTACTTAACTATTCTTATTTTAAACTAAAAAATCTAATACCAACATTATTTTATTTACTATGTTTTGTTATGATTTAAATAAATAAATAAATAAATAAACACGACTCTCTTTTGAAAAAAGCAAGTTTCAGTTGTTTCTTACTTTTCTTGAAACTCACGACACAGCGTAATAGCGACCATTTCGCCTTTCATCTAGAACGTCTAGAACTCTAGATTATTTATATTACATTTTCACCCCTAAAGTATTATTTTTATCCAGAAAACACCCCTGTAAATTGAAATCCGAAACATAATGACGCTAACATAAATAATAAACCAGAAAAGTCAATTCAAACATTTGGGGCAACCACTCTGAAAGGAACCCAAGTTTGACTCCTAAACGCTTCTATATATATTCACCAAGATCCATGGATTCCACATCAGTTCACACATTTCCTATTTTGTAAGACTCCTTTCTCATAACGAAACGCGGACGCTTTGATCTTTCAACTTCAACAGATTTTCGATCTCGGAGCTGACATTTTGGTTTCATTTGATTTGATTTGGTTCGACTGAGATCTAGATCCAGATGGATGCGAGTTTGTTTTCTTCGGATGGTGATCATCACAGTAGGGATACAGATGAAGATGTTGATCAATCGATTGATGTGATTAGCTCTGAATTCCAACGACAATTTGAGCTTGAAAGCAATGAGGAGTCTTCTTCACAGTTATTGCCAGATTCAGAAGTTCATGAAGATTGTGAGAATGAAGGGGAAGAACAACAGGAAGAACAAGAAGAAGATGCTGATAGTGATGGTGATTTTACGTTTATGTTTATAGGCGACGATAATTTGCCGATTTATGCGGATGGAGTGTTGGAAGACGGTCAGATCCGGCCGGTGTTTCCTTTGTTTGATCAGAAGTTGTTGTTAGGCGGTGATTATGATCTTGAAGAAATAGATCGGTTGCCAATTAACCCGCCGGTGGATAACGTATTCATCGAATCGCCTCGTAGATCTCCGTCGTCTACGGCGTCAGGACATGAAGAAAACGACGATTCAGCGACTGGACCTTACTGTGTGTGGTCAAAAGATTCAGCAACCGGCACCACCGCGGAGCTTAGTAAAAAGAGCAACTCCACCGGTTTCTCGAAGCTCTGGAGGTTAAGAGAGAAAGTCGGTCGGAGCAACAGCGACGGCCGAGATGCTTTCGTGTTCCTAAAAAGTTCCGATAGAACGACGACGTCGACGTCAACCACAGCAACCTCCTCCTCGTCTTCTGTAAAGGCGGTCACCGGTGATGGGTCATTTGTAAAGGTCAACGCTGCCGGAGGGAAGACTAGAGTTGTTAAGCAAGTAACAAAAGCCAAAAAACCAACGGTATCGGCGCACGAGGCTTACTTGAGGAGTAAAGGAGGACACACGGATGAAGAACGCCGGCGGTCTTACCTGCCTTACAGGCCGGAACTTATGGGGTTCTTCACAAATGTTCACGGTGGATTAAGCAAGAACGTCCACCCATATTAAGAAACGCAATCTATTTTTTATTTTATTTTATTTTTTGTACAAAGGAGAAATAAAATGATTATTTCATTATTTAACTTATGTTCATAAGTTACTTTTGTGAATTTTTGAACTTGTTGAATATTGCTAGCGTTAGATCTGTAACTTTCCTAGCCCAAAGCAGTGAAAAAAAGTTTTAACTTCTCCATGTAAATCTTTTGTAACAAAAATTATCAAAATTTTAAGATTAATGATAATACAAAAAATTGGTTCTTTGTATATTTCATTTGGTTCTAGTAAAATTTGCAAGTAAGCTATTTTGATTGATTTTAGAAGATACTTGAAATAAACTTAACTGCAATATATTATAGAACCAAGGGGCTGTTTGAAATGGGTTTAATCCATTGTGTCAAACAAAAACTTATGTCTTGGTCTAACAAGAGTGTTTACGTGAGCATTTTGTGCTCGTTCAGGGTCGAAAGTATGTTGATCGGGTCTTTTCTCCTTTATATCCTTTGTTGTTTGTCTCTTCTCCATCGAAGCTGCTTCCACCGTGACTATAGTTGTAACATCCCAAAATTTTCAATAAATTTGAACTTTTTAAATAACATAAATCATCTATTTAATATCTTTTATTCAAAATAAATTTAAAACCAAAACTCAAGATCAATTCAATTACCAAAACCATTATTAGTTATAATTCTAAAATTTATGAAACAAATAAATTATGTCCAATATCAAAAATTCAATATCTTGCATCGAGCCAATGTGGTACGATCATGCTCGGCCATCTTGTGTACTTTGAACAGTCTTTTGAAGGGAAAAGAGGTAAGCACAAAACTTACTGAATTCCAAACATACACAGTGTCATATCATATCAACTTTACCCCTATTCACAGATACAAACAGTATCAAACACATAACCACGCATGCATGTCAAAAAAACAAATCAGTAACAAACATACTCCTACTGGGACACATTGGTTAGGCCTAATCCCCTTGCTCAGTACATCGAGCCCTTAGGACACATTGGTTATGCCTGATCCCCCGTACCCGAACCCATTGGGACACATTGGCCATGCCCGATCCCCCTTACTCAGTTCGTCGAGCCCTTGGGACACATTGGTTACGCCCGATCCCCACTCGGATGCGCCGAGTCCTATCATGCATAGTCCTCAATACGTGAGGCAAACCACTAGACTCTACCCGCATAAACAATACAATACATAACACACACATGAGCTAATGTAAAGAAGATATAACACAACACGGTGTAGTGAGGAACTCACCTCCAAAAACAAATCAACCTTCAAAGCAACTCGAAACTCACTCATGCCTTCTTTCCCTTTACACTTCCTAATAATAATAAATTGAGTTGAGTTTAGTTATTAAATTGCCTTAATTGTGTAATAAAACTAATGGGTAAATTTCCAGATTTCTACATAAAAATTAGGGTCTGTTCGGGGCCTGTTTTTCCCACCTTACACTCTATATTTTACAAAACTGTATCACATGCAGATAGATTATGCTCTTAACTTTAAAAGTAGTACTCACACACCTCCATACGATTTTTATACGATTTATGGCGAATTTTACAAAACTGTCTCGCATAGCAGCTCATTCCGGACCAGTCTAGGTAAATGGTCGTTTTTACCCTAGTTACTGGCTTCCGGTCAAAACTAATGAAATGTAGAGGACTCAAATATGAAACTTTTTGCACTTATTTCGACTAAAAAGGGATTTCTATGATCGGGATATGATCTTGCAAAGACCTGGAAGGATTAGGGCATTTCCAGAAATTCATAGCTTTGGCTTTTTAAGGTTAATTAGCTTCTTAACCCACTAAGACCCAATCCAAAATGGCTTAATTTCTGGAAATAAGTTCTTAACAGAAGTGCCAAGCCATTGAGTTAAAATATCCATAAAAAATCTAATCCCATACTCCCTAGCATATTCCTTTTTGGAAGGAACAAAGTACAATGTTGAGATAGTAAATCCATCAACTAGGGTTAGGGTTTTTCACACCACAACAGCCCCTACCACTACCCAAACCCTAAACATACATGGAGTACTACCACCCACTGCCACCATGGAAGTCGTGGCTGTCATCACGAAGGCGGCGACGGTGGTTTCGAATGAAGAGAAAGAGTGATTTTTGAGTCACAAAGAAGAGAAAAAGAATGAGGGTTTAAATGCTTACATGATAGGTCTTGTTAGCTACTTCCCAACACTACCTCCACCCTTTATTGGTAGCCTTTCCTTCTTCCTTCTCCTCCTTGAATCGTGTAACACCCTGTTTGGATCATTTTGTAATTCAGGGCTCGTGCGCCGTAAATCGATTATGTGAAGACTTTCGGGCTACGAGAAAGTAAAATTTAGGCCTTATTGAAGGTTGATAAGTTTGGTTGTGAGATATAAGCCTTTGAATCATGAGTGGGAACCAAGGGTGTAATGGGGAAAGATAGGTGTCAGATTGTTTTTCATGACCTTTCCTTGGATATAACGAACGCCGAAATCAGAGTTGGAACGAAGAAAGTTAAGGTCGTTTGAAGTTTAAATGAAAAATGGATCTTATCTGGTATGCTGGGCGTAATTACACAGGGTGCAAACCCTAAATTTTTGGGTTTGAGACATATTTAAGCAACTTAACTCCGGAAAACTCTCTCTATATTCAGCCTCCATCCTCTCCAAGGCTTCATCTCGAAACCCTAGCCCAATTTGTGAAGATTTTAAGCTTCTTGAGTGTTTATGATTGTTTTTGGGTTCATCTTGAAGAAGAAGAAGAAATCCACCATTGAAGCTTGGTGAAGCTCAAGCTTGTGGATCCAGAGCCTATATTGCTTTTCTTAACTCCAGAAGGTATAAAGCTTGAATCTTGATGATGCACTTGTTAGATCTAGCTAGTTTTGGGTTTTATGAGCTCTTTGGTCACTTTAGTGCATAAAGTTTAGATCTTGAAAATTTGTGAGATTGTTATGGATAAAGTTGGAAACTTTATCCATCTAAGCATCATTTTAATTCAGATCTAAAGGTTGGAGACTTGGACTTAAAGGATTCAGTTAAGAAAGATGCATTTTTGCTCCCTTTGAGACTTAAAGACTAGATCTTGATTGTTTAGACTATCCTAATGGATAAAGTTGGAAACTTTATCCATTATGGAGCTATTAGAAGTCATAAAATATGACCTTGGTCCATAGTTTTCCTCCATGCATGGTCTTGGATGTCTTAATGAGCTAAGAAGTTTGGGTTTTTTTTGGATGTTGAAGACTTAATAGCTGTCACACCCCAAAACCGGAACAACGGAAACGTTCGGGGGTGGATGACGTCATGTTCAGTATCACAAAAATGCATAGTAGTAAACAAGCAACAACATCATCCATTGCATTAATAATATAATTTAATACAAGTGTGTTCTGTAAAGTTTAATAGACACCAAAAAGTATGAAACAAAATAAAAGATGAGTCTTGAGCGAGCTCCATCTTCTCAAAACCTGGCACCGCTACCTGTCTACTGGTGACCTGAGAATACAAGTTATTTTGAAAGAGTTGATCAGCTTTAAAGCTGGTGAGATCATAAGTATTTTAGTGTCATTGCTTGAAAGTGTTTGTAAGTACTTGATGTATAAGTTTGTAAATGTTTATAATTGTTTGTAAATGTTTGAACTCTTCTAGAAAACCCTATGTTTTCTACTAAAAGTAGCCTTCTACCAAGGCATCAAATGTATCATTAACCAAAAATATAGTTTTACATTACCGTTCATTGTGTGAAGATCACAAAGTGAATGCAATGGGGAAATAATAAAGTACTGTAGTGTTGTATTAAGTAACTACTGCTGTACTAATTACCTTAAACCAATATGTTATTTAAAGTAACATGTGATATGCCTGTACCATACTACCGACTATAAACACGACGATGAAAGACGTCGGAAGAAATGACATTTGGCACCCGTAGACTTGCAAGTCCCACTGTAGCGAGCAGCAAGGTGTAGGATAGTCAATCCAGTATAGATCTATACACAAACTCAACGCTCTCCTCTTAAGGAGATTCTGGATACAAAACGAACCATGACAGGTGATGCCATGCCCCGTTACGTGGCTCACATAATTGTTGTAATGTTCTTGTATATGTATTGTATGTACTAGCTGTATTGTATGTTCTCTCTCTGTCTAGTATGTATGTGTGCTCTCTCTGTTTATTGTTTGTTTCTCGTTATAGTATTCTCTATCTGTATGTTATGTTTGTTTCTCATCATAGTATTCTCTATCTGTATGTTATGTTTGTTTCTCATCATAGTGTGCATTGACTCATGTATGAACTGACTCATTGTATGTTTCACTGTTCTAGTAATACTTGTAGCACCTGGTTCTTGGTATGTATATCTATTTAATATTTTGCATTTTTGGCCTTGGACTCGGCGAGTCGAAGGACCAACTCGCAGAGTAGAAGCGGGATGAGACGCAGGATTTAAGTGATGGACTCGTCGATTCGGGTCCCGGACTCGACGAGTAGGCTCTGTATGGACAAAAACCCTAATCTGAGGGTTTGCACCCTATTTAAACAACCTTATACAGCCTCCATCGCCCCTTTATTCTCCCAGAAACCCTCTACATCAAACCCTAAGTGTTTTGGTGCAAGATTCAAGGCTTTTGAGTGATTCTTGGTGGTTTTGTTCACAAGGAAGAAGGAAAAGCATAGAAGGATCAAGAGGAGGCTGAAGGATCCGAGTTTGGTTCATCATTTGCAGCCTTTGAGAGGTATAAAGTCTGTACCTTGCTCTTTCATTTGATAGATCCCTTTTTGGGGAGATTTAGGGCTTTTATAAGCCATTTTGGTAACCAAACATGATTGCGAACATGGTTGGGGGTCAAGGCTTCAGATCTAGCACTTGGGAAGAGCCACAAGGCAGATTTGGGTTGCTTTTGCACCCAAGAAAGGTCCCATGCATCATAAGAGCTCATTTTATGTCCTTTTGAGCTCCAAGTCCCATGCATGCACGTAAAGTTTGTAACTTTACGTGCTA